CACCAGTTTTAGTAAATTGACCCCATTACATTATATTATTCACAATAGGTGGGTAGCGCAGGAATGCATTTACAATTTTTGCATTTAGTGAAGGGGATGCAGTAAGATGCTTCAAATAAGGTGACACAACATACACTATATAGCCAAACGTATTGGGACTGCCCTCCAAATCATTGGATTCAAATGTTCCAATCACCTCCATGGCCACAGATGTATAAAATCAAGCACCTACACATGCAGACTGCTTCTACAAACATTTGTGAAAGAATGGGTCGCTCTCAGAAGCTCAGTGAATGCAAGTGTGGTACCGTGATAGGTTGCTGCCTGTGCAATAAGTCCAATCATGAAATTCCCTTGCTACTAAATATTCCACGGTTAACTGTCAGTGGTATTATAACAAAGTGGAAGCAACTGGGAACAGCAGCAACTCAGCCATGAAATGGTAGGCCATGTAAAATGACAGAAAGGGGTGAGCACATGCTGAAGCGCACAGTGCACAGAAGTTGCCACCTGTCTTAGTCAATAGCTAAAGACCTCCAAACTTCATGTAGGCTTCAGATTAGCACAACAGTGCATAGAGAGCTTCATGGAATGGGTTTCCATGGCCGAGCAGCTGCATCCAAACTTTACATCACCAAGTGCAATGCAAAGCGTTGGATGTAGTGCTGTAAAGCACACCGCCACTGGGCTCTAGAGCAGTGGAGACATGTTCTCTGGAGTGATGAATCACGCTTCTCTGGCAATCTGATAGCTGTAATATGTTCTAAAAACCAGCGCTCAGATCTTCATATAGCACAGGATCACGAATACCGTCACTCGCTAAGGTGCAGCCCTCCAAAGATAGTGGAGTCTTGGTACTAGCAAAAAAAGAATAAAAGAGGGCGCACTCTCCTTGTGCATTACTGTGATAAAAGAAGAATTTATTGTGATAAAAACAAATGGATACTCACAAACCAATAGGTCATAAAAACAGAGAGAGAGAGCCACAATCAATGGTCCCAGGTAGCTGGGATCCTGTAGTGGAAAGTGTTAACACATTTCAGGAGCCAAGCTCTCTTCCGAAGAGCTGAAATGCTGTACATGTGTATCATTTCAGCTCTGAGGAAGGGAGCTCAACTCCTGAACTTTCCACTACAGGATCCCAGCTATCTGGGACCATTGATTTTGGCTCTTTCTCTGTTTTTATGACCTATTGGTTTGTGAGTATCCATTTGTTTTTATCACAATAAAATTAATTTTATCACGGTAATGCAGGAGGAGAATGCGCCCTCTTTGATTCTTTTTTTGTTAATCTGATAGCTGTGTCTGGGTTTGGCAGTTGCCAGGAAAATAGTACTTGCCTGACTGCATTGTGCCAAGTGTAAAGTTTGGTGGAGGGGGTATTATGGTGTGGGGTTGTTATTCAGGGGTTGTGCTTCTTGGCCCCTTAGTTCCAGTGAAGGGAACTGTTAAATTGTCAGCATACCAAGACATTTTGGACAATTTCATGCACCCACCTTTGTGGGAACAGTTTGGGGACGGCCCCTTCCTGTTCCAACATGACTGCACACCAATGCACAAAGCAAGGTCCAAAAAGACATGGATGAGCGATTTTGGGTTGGGGGAACTTGACTGGCCTGCACCTCAAACCCATAGAACATCTTTGGGATGAATTAGAGCAGAGACTGCGAGCCAGACCTTCTCATCCAACATCAGTGCTTGACCTCACAAATGCACTTCTGTAAGAATGGTCAAACATTCCTATAGACACACTTCTAAACCTTGTGGACAGCCTTCCCAGAAGAGTTGAAGCTGTTATAGCTGCAAAGGGTGGGCCAACTCAAAATTAAACCCTACAGACTAAGACTGGGATGCCATTACAGTTCATGTGTGTGTAGAGGCAGGTGTCCCAATACTTTTGGCAATATAGTGTATAATGAGGTAGAGTCCATGTATTTTAAAACCCCTACTTCCAATGTGATCCACTTCATCAGGGGAAGCACATACTCTATTGCTAGAATCCAACCTTTTTAATGTGAAAATGCTAATCACTTGCTTGCCATGCTGAGACACTGGTTTAAATACATATTCAGACTCAGTACCACAAAGTATGAAAGCCAAAGGGTCAGCATAACAGCCAGGGACTAGTATTAGAAGATAGGGGTTAGGTCAGTGATACCTGTCTTGCATAAAAGTGGCCACCCGCCCAAGTCTATAACTGGCTTATGAAGCAAGGACACATAAACAGGCATCACATAGTGAAAAAAAGGGGAGAGAGAACAATGTTCTTGGACAACTTGCCAGCCAGCTTGCTAACAACCGAATTAACCTGTCTAACAGTATGCGTTTATAACAGGGGTTTAGTTAGCACACATTTGCAAATACATACGTAAGCCACAGAGCCACGACACGGCACCCTGATCATCTGTGGTCCCTGTTTTTGCAGCTTGCTATGGGGGCACCCAAGCAGGCTGTTCCCAAGCAGCTGCTCTGTGTGTCCATTGACACATGGAGCCGTGGCTTGGCCCCACTCCCTCTATTTCCTCATTTATTGGCTGGCTGTGACTGACAGCAGCAGGAGCCAATGGCTCCCACTTGTTATCTCAGCCAATGAGGAGGCAGAGACCCGGGACAGCCATGGCTGTCATGTACATCGCTGGATCAAGATGGGGCTTAGGCATGTATTGAGGGGGCTGGGGGCACTGCAGCACACAGAAGGTTTTTTACCTTCATGCATAGAATGCATGAAGGTAAAAAACCTTCAGCCTTTACAATAACTTTAACTTGCATGTTTGGATGGTATGGGGAACCGTGTTCACAGACAGTGGTTTTTAGAAGTATTCCTGAGCCCATGCAATGAATCACAGAATTATACCTGTTTTTAGTGCAGTACCATATGAGGTCCTAAGGATCATGAGCATCCAACAGAATTTCAGCCTTGTCCCCTGCGCACAGGGATTTCTCCAGATTCCCTGAATCTTTGGATGATACTATATACTGTAGATCGGTATTTCTCAACCTATTTTCAGTCAAGGCACGCTTCTGCATAATCTCGAGGCACCTTATTCTAAAATGTAAAAAACTATTCTAATAGTTTTACAGAATGCAGCAACGTCCACACACAGCGTAGGACACCCAACATTAGAGGTGATTTATTATTCCAAAGCAAATATACCTTTACACAATGGTACTGACTAGTATTCTGATGTTTCTCCCTCAGTTTCTCTCCCTCACTCAGCTAATGTGACCCCAGTGCAGGCACCCAACATCCTTCTTATCAAATGATAATGTCATTGGTTGTTAGGACGCTGGCAGCTAGAACGTCATAAAAGTGAACAATGAAAACCTGTGGCTTTGTGTACTAAAAGGTAGACTTCATCCACTTGCTGACTTGTATGCAATTTTTGGGCAATTTGTAGGCATTTTGCCAGGGCACCCCTGACGAAGCCAGAAGGCACCCTGGTATAAAAAGGCTGCTGTAGACAATGATCTATTTAAAGTTTTTGCAATTTTACATTGAGAAACATGATTCTAAAATTGTTTTACAAGAAGAGTGAATCTCTGCCCATCTTTACTTCTGAAACATTCTGACTCTCTAAGATGCCCTTCTTATGCCCAATCCTGTTCCTGACCTGGTGCCAATTAACCTAATTAGTTGCATGATTAGCTCTTCTCTGTTACTACCACTTACTTTGCCTGCTTTTTGATGCCCTGTCCTAACTATTTAAGACGTGCTGCTACCATCAATTTCTAAATTACCTTTTTTTTATGTTTTCTATTGTGAATAAAATATGGGTTTATTAGATTTTCAAATCTTTGCATTCTGTTTTTATGTAGATTTTACACAAGATCCCAACCTTTTGGAAATAGGGTTGTAAATGAACAGCCTAACTGCAAGGGTTTCCTGGAGTTGGGCTTTAACTATTAGAAAATCAAAGAAACATTCCAAAAACTTCTGAGGTGTGACAGTTTGATTCCCAGAATGCCCAGGGCATAGCACTATGGTGATGAATCACACAGCCATTCGCACTCGAGTGTGATCTGACATGTTCTAACTTGCACTCGCCTGGGTCGTATACTAGTTGACTCAGTCTGTAAGGAGTATTAAAAGAAATAACACATGTGTTTGTGGCTCTGTTGGCAGAATGATAGGAATCTATAGCAGCAGATTTACATCAAATTTTGCATGAAAATTGGCAACAGTACAAGTGAAAGTTTATCTCTGTTACAACAGACTTATGGTGGACATTCCATGAAGAAATCAAGTATTTCGGTGTGGCCTATGCGATTTAAGAAGGGGTAGGAAGATGTCCACAATGAGCCAAATTGCAAAGGATTGATGCAAGTGTGAACCCTCGTACGTTCAGATCGAAGACTGAGTGTGAATGATGGCAGAATGGAACATGAACAGGGAAACAGTGCAGCAGATTCTAATGGAGGATTTAGGAAGAGAAAGTTTTCCACAAAGATGGTGCCTTGAATTTTGACAGATCAGAAAGAACATCTTTAAATTTCATCTGATCTTTTAAAGAATGCAGAAGTGTTTGATAGGGTTACTACCGGACCATTCTGGGAATTAAATTGTCACACCCCGTACATTTTTTTCATTGAAATTCTATTGGTATATGGCCAGCTTTAACCACTCGCCTAGCAGGCACTTTTACCCCCTTCCTGTCCAGGCCAATTTTCAACTTTCAGCACTGACACACTTGGAATGACAATTGCGCGGTCATGCAACACTACACCCATACAAAATTTTTATCCTTTTTTTGAGACATATAGAACTTTCTTTTGATGGTATTCAATCACCACTGGGTTTTTTATTTTTTTCTAAACCAACTAAAAAAAGACTGAAAATTTTTAAACAAAAAAAGTTTTCTTAGTTTCTGTTATAAGATTTTGTAAATAAGTAATTTTTCTCCTTCACTGATGTGCACTAATGAGGCTGCAGTGATGGGCACTGATAGGCTGCACTGATGGGCACTGATAGACAGCACTGATGAGGAGGCACTGGTAGGTGGCACTGATGGGCATTGACAGGCATCACTGCTGGGCACTGACAGGCCCGTTAGGTGGCACTGACTGGTGCTGATAGGTGGCACTGACTGACGCTGATAGGTGGCACTAACTGGCACTGATAGTTGGCACTGAAAGGCAGCTCTGATGGGATCTGATATGTGGCATTGATGTGCACTGGTAGGAACTGATATGTGGCATTGATGTTTACTCATGGGCACTGATATGTGGCACTGATGGGCACTGACAGGTGGCATTGATAGGCACTGACAGGTGGAACTGATGGGGCTCTGATGGAGCACTGATGTCCCCTCTGAGTAATGCCGCTTACCAGCTCTCCTCTTCTCACACGCTGTCAGCGTGAGGAGAGGACTGCCGATAACCGGAATTTCCTTGTTTACATGTGATCAGCTGTGACTGGAAACAGCTGATTCCATGACAGAGCCGGTGTCATCAGCTCTTTACTGTGAATGGTGATCCGCTGTGTCCTAGGGGAGACAGCTCACCACTGATCGCCGTGCTGTGCACCCCCAGGGGTGCGCATGCGCAGTTAGAGTGGGAGGACGTCATCTGACGTCCTCCCAGAATGAGAGAGCAGTCGTCCGCCCGTCATTTCCTCATATGGCAGGCACGAGGCGGTTAAAGTATAACTAAAGGAAATCTCTCTTTTTTGGATAGAGTGGAAAGGGATTAGAACACCTATCAGGACTCTCTGTGCCTCCAGGAGATTTACTCTCTATATTTGTCCTGTTTACCGATATCATCAAGAACAGGACTAGAGGGGGAACTTCCAAACAGTACACTAGCTCTGGCGACCCTGGTGACAACCAGGGATTCTCTCACTTTGGAGGGATTTCCTTTCACTTCCTGTGTGGGCTTGCCTGTATGTTTGCTCTGCATTTTCCCAACGAATTCAAGGCATTCTCTGATTGGAAAAGGTGGAGATTGTGACATCCAAGCTGGACCCATGTAAAATTATCCATATCTGGAATTTAGCTTTTAGGTAATGCGCACATTACCACAATGCAACATATTTGTGTTTTGGCCATAAAATTGTTATAATGATAATAGGTTTATACAAGGTGGCTGTTTTTCTGCTGATGGGGTAAAAACAATGTGGGTTCAATGATCGCACAGTTAAAAGCTGCCTCTTTGCATATAATTTATCAAAACAGGAAGAGACAGAATCTGGAGCATTGGTGGCATGCCATCCAATCAGCTTCTATATTCAGACTGTTTTGGGAAGCTTTGAATGTGAAAGCTAACTGACTGTCATGCACACCTGTATAGATAAATTCCTTTTTCTTTCTATATCAAATGACACATCAAGGTGTGAATCAATTATCACAAATGTTACCCCTATCCATTTGTGGGAGGATAGGCTTCTTCTTACATCACTACTTTAGGGAGAGAAGGGAGACTGAAGCCATGCCCTGAGGAAGTACCATGGTGTAGGACGAAACATGTTGGCAGCTGGGTATGTCTGTAAGACAGCCCAGATAATTCAGCTTTTTGCTTGGTATTTCTGATATCCTTTTTGATGACTGCTCAGGTCTAAGGATGCATTGGTTCAACCTGCCCACCCACAGCATGGATGAAATCTTCAAAAAAAAGAGATAAGTACTCTGTTTTGGGAAATGAGGATCACCCTGCCAGGATTTTAATCAACATTTTCTTTTTGTTATTTACATCCATGAAAAAGTTGGAATCCCCATTCTGATTGGTAACCATTTTAAAAATCACATTTATGTTTCATTTTCCAAATAATTGGAATTAAAGAGTTGCACATATTTAAGTTAAATGCATGCTTTTCAATTATGGGTTGAACCAAGAGGGTTAACGCAGTATTAAATCCAAAAGCAAGCATTTAATATATCACAGCTTATAACTTCGTAGATGTGGTGACTGCATTTGTTTTCTTTTTTAGTCTTTCATTCTTCTCTTTTCATCTAGTGATCCTGTTTGTTGTTTTTAAAAGAACAAGCTGTCCTGCAAATGTAGCAGGTGAGGGTGTTGAGACAAACCATTTACCACTGACAGGGGTGCTTACAATGATCAACGTTTATTTTATATTTATATAACACCTTTATCCCAAAAGGAAAAACTATTGCTGTAACTGCTTTTAAAGAGTGAGATGGAGATTGGCTTAAAATCGTTAGTGTATTTAAATCTGCTAGTACACTCCCCTCCCCCAGACTGACAATGCTGTGGTTCTTAGGTGCCCCCTGTGCATCTTCATCCAGAGTGGAGGCACTCTAATACATGAGATGTGTTACTGGTCAGATCACCAGGTGAAAACAGAGGAAAGGGGGGCGTGGTCTGGTCCCGACCTAAGAAAACAGAGGAAAAACCCTAAAAAAAGAAAACTAATACAGCCACCACATCTAATGATTGGTAAGCTGCAATATATTACACTTTTGGTATTAGGTTTAATACTGCTTTAATATTGTTTCCTATATAAATTGCCATTCCTGCCTTGATTTATAACAAACTCCTTGGTGACAGATTGTATTCCCCTGAATGATATTTATGAGAAAGGGGGGATTTTTATGATAATCCCCAAGAATAGTGCTGTGCTGCCCCCTAGTGACCCAAAAAATACACTGATAATAAACACCCTCCTGAGCATCAAACCCAATATGTAATAGAATAAATCTGTAAAACAAATAAAGTCAATAGTAAATTAAAAAAAACTGGCTGAGCCACTAAATCCAAATGATAAGTGAAACATATATCAAAAATAAACCAAAATCAAGTAGCAATAAATACCTGGCCAGCCTATAATAAACCCCCAGCTGAGCTGAAGAATGAAGTGTAAAAAACAACAAAAACAGCAAAATATGTGAAACGTATATCAGAAATAAAACAAAATCACAATAGCAGTAAACACCTGGCTGAGCTGCAATAAACATCTGGCTGACCATAAAGCATAAAGTGTGTAAAGATCGACAAAAACAGTATTAAATGATTGTAAAACAAATGCCCGGCTGAGCAATCAGACCCCCAGTGGAATACATATGTGATGAATCAAATAAATGTTCAACTGGGCTAAATATTCACAAAAAGTGTGTATTAGAAAAAAAATTAACCGCTCTATTGAATATACAGTGAATGATAGATAACAATAAAGTGCAAAATGCAGTCCAAGAGTAATATAACAGTCTCATTCTTCTCTTCCAACATTTAAAGTAATGCCCCAGTGACTTCAACAGGTGCGCAAATCTATGGTGCTCCTCCACCTTCAGGCATGCATGCTCACCTTAACAGCTAACCCATACAAATATAGGCCGATATGCACTCAATAGACTGGATCCTCTGCTTCCACAGGTCATACCAGGCACTCTCAGGAACAATCCTTTATGTCCCCACTCCGATGGATAGGTGCTCAAAAGATAAGGAACTGATAGTGTAGAAAGGCTTTATTACCATAAAAATGTATAAAAAATGCCACTCACATAGATACAAGGTTCACAGAACTTGTTGCAAGCATGTAAGGGGAAAACAGGGTGAACACTGCACGTACCAGAAAAAACGTCAGAAGCTTTTGTCCTACGCGTTACGCCTCGAGTTACGTGGCTTCTTCAGGGATAGGAAGCAAGTGTGTCGCTCCAGTCCAGTGGTGGCGTGCTTTACACCACTGCATCCAACAATTTTGCATTGCACTTGGTGATGTAAGACTTGGATGCAGCTGCTCAGCCATGGAAACCCATTCCATGAAGCTCTCTATGCACTGTTGTTGTGCTTATCTGAAGGCCAAATGTAGTTTGGAGGTCTTTAGCTATTCACTCTGCAGACAGTTGGTGACATTGTTCGCTTCAGCATGTGCTGACCGCGCTCTGTCATTTTATGTGGCCTACCACTTTGTGGCTGAGTTGCTGTTGTTCCCAGTTGCTTTCACTTTGTTATAATACCACTAACAGTTGACTGTGGAATATTTAGTAGCAAGGAAATTTCACAGATGGACTTATTGCACAGGTGACAACCTATCACAGTACCACACTTGAATTCACTGAGCCCTTGAGAGCAACACATTCTTTCAAAAATGTTTGTAGAAGCAGTCTGCATGCCTAGGTGCTTGATTTTATACAGACGTGGCCATGGAGGTGATTGGAACATTTGAATCCAATGATTTGGAGTGGTGTCCCAATACTTTTGGAAATATAGTGTATCTGAGGAGAGGGGGTGAACTGTGTGTGAGAGGGCTTAGGCTATATTTACACCTTAGTGCAGCAGGAACTAACTTTTTTTGCGAGTTTTCTGTGCATTTCCATGTGTCTGACGCTCTCTGTGATCACACAATCCAGGGCAAAAGGGCCAATCACAGTGGCCATTTAACATGTGATCAGCTGTATCCAATCACAGCTGATCACAATGTAAACACACTTTCTGGTTAGTGGTAGCATTTTTCTCGTGCTGTCACAGTATGAGGAAAGTACTGCCAATAACTGGCAAGTGTGAAAGGAAACATCTACACTGATAATCAGGGTCTGATTATGGGTGCAGTCCCAACAGTGCCTATCAATGCTGCTTATTAGTGCCAAACAGTTTCCATCAGTCCTGCCAGTCAGTGTCCATTAGTGCTGCCAATCAGTGCCCATCAGTGCTGACAATCAGTGCCCATCAGCACTGCAAAACAGTGCCCATCAGCGATGCCAGTCAATGCCACCTATCAGTACTGCCCATCAGTTCCCTTCAGTGCTGCCTATTATTAGTGCCCATCAGTGCAGTGCTGCCAATCAATTCCAATCAGTGCTGCCAATCAGTGCCAATCAGCACTGCAAAACAGTGCCCATCAGTGCTGCCAGTCAGTGCCACCTATCAGTACTGCCCATCAATTCCCTTCAGTGCTGCCTATCAGTGCCCATCAGTGCTGCCTATCTGTACCCATCAGTGCTGCCAATCAGTGCCTCATCAGTGCCACCAGTGCTGCCTATTAGTGATGGTTTGTCGGTGGCTGATTTAATACCAGAGGATTCTAAGTGCCCACTATGAAGAGAAGGTGCTTTCTATATCCTGTAATGAATAGGTATAGAGTTGGGAGCCGTCGGCTCGGTGTACTTCTCTGTCTATAGACATCCGATGCCCAGAGCAGCCTGATCCGTCGAGGAGGAGCGCAGATCGGCACGTCTAGAGGGATCCCGGGATGCCAGGCTCCATATAAGCTGGCTGTGTTGTCGCTGTGATTTGTCTTGTCCTGCCTCTCCGGGTGGTGGGATGCCAGACCCCGGCTTAGTGATGTTATCCCCCCAGGAGGCCGCCAAGATCTACCACGCCAATTACATCCGCAATTCCAGGGCCATCGGGGTGCTGTGGGCAATCTTCACCATATGCTTCGCCATCGTCAACATTGTATGCTTCATCCAGCCGTACTGGATCGGGGACGGGGTGGACACCCCCCAGGCTGGCTATTTCGGACTCTTCCACTATTGTATCGGCAGCGGCTTCTCCAAAGAGCTCACCTGTACCGGCAGCTTCACCGATTTCTCCTCCATCCCCTCCGGAGCCTTCAAAGCCGCCTCGTTCTTCATTGGCCTGTCCATGACACTCATCATCGCCTGCATCGTGTCCTTCGTGCTCTTCTTCTTCTGTAACACGGCCACGGTGTACAAGATATGTGCCTGGATGCAGCTCTCCTCCGGTGAGTCCATCAGCACTGCCATCCTCAGCACCGTCCCAGTGGACAGCTCCTGACACCACATGTCCTCTGACAGGCCACAAGTGACAGCTCCTGACACCACATGTCCTCTGACAGGCCACAAGTGACAGCTCCTGACACCACATGTCCTCTGACAGGCCACAAGTGACAGCTCCTGACACCACATGTCCTCTGACAGGCCACAGCTGACAGCTCCTGACACCACATGTCCTCTGACAGGCCACAAGTGACAGCTCCTGACACCACATGTCCTCTGACAGGCCACAGCTGACAGCTCCTGACACCACATGTCCTCTGACAGGCCACAGCTGACAGCTCCTGACACCACATGTCCTCTGACAGGCCACAGGTGACAGCTCCTGACACCACATGTCCTCTGACAGCTCCTGACACCACATGTCCTCTGACAGGCCACAGCTGACAGCTCCACACATGTCTGACAGTGACAGCTGACACCACATGTCCTCTGACAGGCCACAGCCGACAGCTCCTGACACCACATGTCCTCCGACAGGCCACAAGTGACAGCTCCTGACACCACATGTCCTCCAACAGGCCACAGCTGACAGCTCCTGACACCACATGTCCTCCAACAGGCCACAAGTGACAGCTCCTGACACCACATGTCCTCCGACAGGCCACAACTAACAGCTCCTAACGCCACATGTCCTCCGACAGACGACAACTGACAGCTCCACAGCTGACAGCTCCTGACACCACATGTCCTATGACAGGCCACAGCTGACAGCTCCACAGCTGACAGTTCCTGACACCACATGTCCTCTGACAGGCCACAGCTGACAGCTTCTGACACCACATGTCCTCTGACAGGCCACATCTGACAGCTCCTGACACCACATGTCCTCCGACAGGCCACAAATGACAGCTCCTGACACCACATGTCCTCCGACAGGCCACAACTAACAGCTCCTGACACCACATGTCCTCTGACAGGCCACATCTGACAGCTCCTGACACCACATGTCCTCCGACAGGCCACAAGTGACAGCTCCTGACACCACATGTCCTCCGACAGGCCACAAGTGACAGCTCCTGACACCACATGTCCTCCGACAGGCCACAACTAACAGCTCCTAACACCACATGTCCTCTGACAGACGACAACTGACAGCTCCACAGCTGACAGCTCCTGACACCACATGTCCTCTGACACGCCACAGCTGACAGCTCCACAGCTGACAGTTCCTGACACCACATGTCCTCTGACAGGCCACAGCTGACAGCTCCTGACACCACATGTCCTCTGACAGGCCACAGCTGACAGCTCCTGACACCACATGTCCTCCGACAGGCCACAAGTGACAGCTCCTGACACCACATGTCCTCCGACAGGCCACAAGTGACAGCTCCTGACACCACATGTCCTCCGACAGGCCACAGCTGACAGCTCCTGACACCACATGTCCTCCGACAGGCCACAAGTGACAGCTCCTGACACCACATGTCCTCCGACAGGCCACAACTAACAGCTCCTAACACCACATGTCCTCCGACAGACACAACTGACAGCTCCACAGCTGACAGCTCCTGACACCGTGGGGTTTATTTACTAAAGCTGGAGAGTCCAAAATCAGACTCCCTTCTGCATAGAAACCAATCAGCTTCTAACCTCAGCTTGTTCAATGAAGCTTTGGCAATGAAACCTGGAAGCTGATTGGTTTCTATGCAGAAGTGAGTCTGATTTTGCACTCTCCAGCTTTAGTAAATAAACCCCCATATGTCCACTGACAGGCCACAGCTGACAGCTCCTGACACCACATGTCCTATGACAGGCCACAACTGACAGCTCCTGACACCACATGTCCTCTGAGAGGCCACAACTGACAGCTGCTGACACCACATGTCCTCTGACAGGCCACAACTGACAGCTGCTGACACCACATGTCCTCTGACAGGCCACAACTGACAGCTCCTGACACCACATGTCCTCTGATAGGCCACAACTGACAGCTCCTGACACCACATGTCCTCCCACAGGCCACAACTGACAGCTCCACAGCTGACAGTTCCTGACACCACATGTCCTCCGACAGGCCACAGCTGACAGCTCCTGAAACCACATGTCCTCTAACAGGCCACAGCTGACAGCTCCTGACACCACATTCCTCTGACAGGCCACAGCTGACAGCGCCTGACACCACATGTCCTCTGATAGGCACCAACTGACAGCTCCTGACACCACATGTCATCTGACAGGCCACAACTGACAGCTCCTCCTGACAACACATGTCCTGTGATAGGCCACAACTTACAGCTCCTGTCACGACACTGGGGGCTACATGTCCTCTGATGCCACACACTGACAACCCCTGACACCACATGTCCTGTGATAGGCCACAACTGACAGCTCCTGACACGACACTGGGGGCTACATGTCCTCTGATGCCACACACTGACAACTCCTGACACCGCATGTCCTGTGATCGGCCACACGCTGACAGCTCCTGACACCATACCAGGGAGAGGCTACATGTCCTCTTATAGGCCACACACTGACAGCTCCTCCTGACACCACACTGGGGGCTACATGTCCTCTGATAGGCCACACACTGACAGCTCCTGACACCACACCAGGGAGCTACATGTCCTCTGATAGGCCACACACTGACAGCTCCTCTGACACCACACTGGGGGCTACATGTCCTCTGATGCCACACACTGACAACCCCTGACACCACATGTCCTGTGATAGGCCACAACTGACAGCTCCTGACACGACACTGGGGGCTACATGTCCTCTGATGCCACACACTGACAACTCCTGACACCACATGTTCTTTAATAGGCCACAACTGACAGCTCCTGACACCATACCAGGGAGAGGCTACATGTCCTCTGATAGGCCACACACTGACAGTTCCTGACACAACTCCGGGGGCTACATGTCCTCTGATAGGCAGACATTGACAGCTCCTGACACCACATTGGAGGGCTACATGTCCTCTGATAGGCCTCACACTGACAGCTCCTGACTCCACGCTGGGGGGCTACATGTCCTCTGACCGGCCACACACTGACAGCTCCTGACACCACACCGGGGGGGCTACATGTCCTCTGATAGGCCACACACTGGCAGCTCCTGACACCACATTGGGGGGCTACATGTCCTCTGATAGGCCTCACACTGACAGCTCCTGACTCCACACTGGGGGGCTACATGTCCTCTGACAGGCCACACACTGACAGCTCCTGACACCACATGTCCTCTGATAGGCCACACGCTGAGAGCTGCTGACACCACACCGAGGGCTACATGTCCTCTGATAGGCCACACACTGACAGCTCCTGACACCACACTGGGGTCTACATATCCTCTGATAAGTCAAACATTGACAGCTCCTAACAACACACTGGGGGTCTACATGTACTCTGATAAGCCACACATTAACAGCTCCTGACACCACACTAGGGGTCTACATGTCCTCTGATAGGCCACACGTTAACAGCTCCTGACACCACACTGGAGTGTACATATTTTCTGATAAGTTAAACATTGACAGCTCCTAAGAACACACTGGGGGTCTACATGTACTCTGATAGGCCACACATTAACAGCTCCTGACACCAGGTTGGGAGTCTGCATGTCCTCTGATAAGCCACACAATGACAGCTCCTGACACTGTACTAGGGGTCAACATTTCCTCTTATAGGCCAAACATTGACAGTTCTTGACACCACGCTGGGTTCTACATGTCCTATGATAGGCCACATATTGAAAGCTCCCGACACTGTACTATGGGTCTACACATCATCTTATAGGCAACACATTGACAGCTCCTGATACCACACTGAGAGTCTACATGTTCTCTGATAGGTCAGACTTTGACAGCTCCTGACACCACACTGGGGGCTACATGTCCTCTGATAGGTCAGACATTGACAGCTCCTGACACCATACTGGGGATCTATATGTCCACTGTTAGGTCACACAATGACAGCTCTTGACACAACACTGGGGTTTACATGCCCTCTGACAGGCCACACACTGACAGCTCCTGACACCACATTGGGGGGCTACATGTCTTCTGATAGGCCACACACTGATAGCTCCTGACACCAGACTGGGGGCTACATGTCTTCTGATAGGCCACACACTGACAGCTCCTGACACCACACTGGGGGGCTACATGTCCTCTGATAGGCCACACACTGACAGCTCCTGACACCACACTGGGGTTTACATATCCTCCGATAAGTCAAGCATTGACAGCTCCTAACAACACACTGGGGGTCTACATGTCCTTTGATAGGCCACACACTGACAGCTCCTGACATCACATTGGGGGGCTACATGTCTTCTGATAGGCCACACACTGACAGCTCCTGACACCACTCTGAGGGATACATGTCCTCTGACAGGCCAAACACTGACAGCTCCTGACACCACATGTCCTCTGATAGGCCACATGCTGACGTGCTGACACCACACGGGGGGGGGGCAACATGTCCTCTGGTATGCCACACACTGACAGCTCCTGACACCTCACTGGGGTCTACATGTCCTCTGATAGGCCACACATTAACAGCTCCTGAAACCACTTGGGAGTCTGCATGTCCTCTGATAGACTACACATTGACAGTTCCTGACATCACACTGGAGTCTACTTGTCCTCTGATAGGCCACATCCTGATAGCTTCTGACAACATAGTGGAGGTCTACATGTCCTCCGATAGGCCACAGACTGACAGCTGCTGACACCACACTGGAAGCTATGTGTCCTCTGATAGGCTACACATTGACAGCTCCTGACACCACATGTCCTCTGATAAGCCACAGACTGACAGCTGCTGACACCACACTGGAAGCTATGTGTCCTCTGATAGGCTACACATTGACAGCTCCTGACACCACATGTCCTCTGATATGCCAAACACTGACAACTCCTAACACCACACTGGGAACCCATATCCTCTGATAAATCAAACATTGACAGCTCTTAAGAACACACTGGAGGTCTACATGTCCTCTGATAGGCCACACATTAACAGCTCCTGACACCAGGTTGGGAGTCTG